GGCTCACGGCCGACGCCCTCACCGCCTACGCCGAGGTCCCCGGCGGCGAGGACCCCTCCGGCGGCGGCGCCGCCCCGCGCCCGACGGCCGAGCTGCCGCTGGTGCGCGTCGCGGCCGTTCTGGGCACGGCCGAGGGCAGCCGCGCGGTGAAGCTCGTCTGCCAGGGGGGCGCGTGGTGGGAGCTGCGCGGGGAGCCCGCGGAGGCTCCAGGGCCGACAACGGACGACGGTCGGACCGGGGTATCAGATCGAGGTCGGTTCGGGGATGGTGCCCTGATGTTCTTCGTGCCTGTTGGATGCTCTTTGTGCATCCTGGGGGAGGGCGCCCTCCAATGCTCCGTGTGCCTTGGCCGGCGGAGGGCCTCGTGTTCTCTGAGGAGGTGCTTCTGTCCCAGGTCCGGGCCTCACAGGGGCGCGGGCTTTCGGAGGGTGTCCGCGCAGCTTTCTCGGGGCAGCGCCAGGCCCCCCCCCCAGGCGGCGCCCCAGGGGCTGCTCCTGGCACGCTCCGCGCGCCAGTGAAAGGGTTGTGGGGCCCCGTGGGGCCAGGTGCCGACCCAGGATGTCCGCGCGGACCCTGCGAAAGTTTCTGCTCGGGCACCTGCTCTGTCTTCGAAGGTGGCGCCCTGGGCGTCGGAGGTCCACGCTCGCTTCCGCCAGTTCCGCTTCGCGGCCCAGAGCATGCGGACGAGCGTGGCCATGGACGAGCAGCTGTCGAAGGCCCTGGCCAGGAGCAGGAGGCGGCGGCTGAAGAGCTCCGTGAGGAGGACCCTGCCGTGCTGCGCGTGCATATTGAGAGACCCGCCCCGCGGCAGCCACGACTTCTCGACGGCGGTGAACGCGCGCCAGTCGATCTTCAGAGGGCCGAGGACGAAGTTCGATGGCGGGATGGCAGATCCCAAGCTGCTGGAGGGCATCACGGACCCAGATCTGCAGGAGGTCCAGGTGCTCCATTGGTCAAGCCAAGCGGTGCAGTTCCTGCGGCGCTGCGAGAGGATCCCGAAGGAGCTGTCCGAAGACTTCGCCCAGTCCATGCGCAAAGGCGTGCCGGACGGCCTCAAGCGGCTCATCTGGCCGCTGGCGGCGGGGACGACCGTCGAGTGCTCGCGAGGGAGGGTCGATCTCCGCGAGGCCTACTCCGGCAACCTGGAGCGGACCTTCGGGAGCCTGGTGCCCGCCGCGCTGGAGGACCCGGTGCCGACGTTCTGCCAGGGCATCCAGGGGCTGGAGGGCACGCCGGTGCTGCGGGACGCGGTGCCCTACCTGTGGCTGCTGAGCCCGGAGGGGGAGCAGGCCCTGCGGCGGCTGCTGTGGTGCACGCAGCTGACCACCAGCTCCGTGAGGCTGTGCCCCTTCCTGCCCTGCCTGCTCGCCGCGCTCCTGGCGTTCTTCAGCGAGGAGGAGGCGATGCACATCGTCGAGACGGTCATCGACGCGGCCGAGGGCGAGGCAGACCCCGAGAGGTCCAGCAACCCCCGGATCGTCCTGACCGTGGAGGTGCTCCAGCGGGTCCCCGCGGGGTGGTCCCGCCCGCGGGGGTCCCCTGCGGGGAGGGGGCCCTGCGCTGGTCCCTGGTGGGGTCTCTGTGGGGATCCCCGCGGCGCTGCGGGAGGTCCCGCGGGGTCCCTGTGGGAGCCCCTGCGGGAGACCCCGCGGGGGGTTCTGCGGGGTCCTCTGTGGGGGCCACTGCAAGACTCATCGCGAGAGCCAGTGCAGGGTGCAATCCCCGCCGGAGGGAGGCACTGCAATGTTCCCTGCGGGAGTCAATGCACCCCCCCCCCCTTCCTCCTCCTCCTCCTCCTCCTCCTCCTCCTCCTCCTCCTCCTCCTCCTCCTCCTCCTCCTCCTCCTCCTCCTCCTCCTCCTCCGCATCCCCCAGACTTATAGATACATCCTCCCTGTCGCACCCCCGAACGCGTCGGTCAGGCAGCCTGACGTTTCGCCAGAGGCGTGCATTCGCCGTTCTGGATTTTTGCAGCAGCTGCACGGATTCAGAGGGATCGTTTTCGAGATGGAGCTCTCGCCGGAGCGCCGCGCACATCCGTTCTGAAAGCCTGCAAACGACAGCCACAAGGACGCCGCGCCGCGCGCGTTCGTTTGAGATGCTTGCAGCAGCTACGCTGATGGACGGCGGTGTCTTTTCAACACGGGGCTCTTGCCGTAGCGCCGCGCACGTTCGTCTGAGCAGCTTGCTGGCGGGCGTGGCTTTCCACATGGGGCGCTCGCCGCAGCGTCGCGCACCTCCGTTGCACAGGCCTGCACTAGCCACAAAAATGGACGGCGGCTCCTTTGGAAGCTGGGGCTCTCGCAGTCCCGCGCACCTTCGGTTTGAACAGCCTGCAACAGTTAAAGGGATGGTAGGGGAAGGAGGAGGAGGAGGAGGAGGAGGAGGAGGAGGAGGAAGACGAGGAGGAGAAGGAGGAGGACGAGGAGGAGGAGGGAGGAGGAGGAGGGGGGGAAATTGCGGCTCTCGCCGCCACGCCGCGCACATCCTTTTCGGAAAGTTTGCGACAGCCACAGGGGCGGAGGGCGGTTCCCTCGCAGAGCCGTGATCTTGCTCGAGCGCCGCCCACGCAATCTGTTTGACAAGCTTGCAGCAGCTCCCGGGATGGAGGGCGGTTCCTTCTCATCACTGGGCTCTCGCCTGAGGCTCCCCTGCTCGGCGGCGAGCGAGGGGGGGGGAAGTGAGGAGGAGATTCTCCTTCTCAGAAGTCCCGCCGCCTTCTGAGAAGGCCTTCTGAAGGCCTTCTCAGAAGGCGGCGGGACCTCTCGGAAGCCCTCGCGCCTGCGGGGAAGGCTCAGGAAGCTTCTCGGAAGGCCGTGGGACCTCCGAGCCTTGAAGGCCCGCCCCTTCCCACTTCCCCCCTCGCTCGCCGCCGACTTACACCTATAAAGGCCGCAAGCTTGAACACATGGAACAGCTGCACGGATGGAGGGCGGCCCTTTTTCACATGAGGTCTCGCGCTCGAGACTGTGAAAGGAACCCATCTCGCACCCTCATTTCTACTCCTCACTCGCCCTTTTGCCTGCCTTATCGGCTCAGGTACTGGAAGAGACCAGGACGCTGGTCGCACAGGAGGAGAAGATCCCTATCTTTCCCTCCTTCCTCTACCTACGGATCAGGGGGTTCCGTACCTTTGCACTCTAACCCCATACACAGAGACTTCCTCCGAGTCCATGGCTGCAGATATAAACGTGTGCAGCAGTTACACAGATGGCGGGCGGCCCTTTTTTCAACGCGGGAATCTCGCCGGCCACTTCGCTGAGCGGTATGATCATGTGCGTCGCAATCTTCACTTTTCGCTAGAAGGACGCACGGCAGGTCTTTTTCACAACCGGGCTCTTGCACGAATATCAGGCGCATGGGGTGCTGGTCTTTCCAGATGGGGCGCTTTTTGCAGTGGAAGGGAAGGCTGCTTGCAGGGACTGGTGATGAGGGGACTCGGGGCAGGAGGATGTGTTGCAGCATCCGTTCTGCATCGAGGGCCTATTACGGTCCTCCTCCTCCTCCTCCTGCTCCTCCTCCTCCGCATCCTCCTTCCCCTCCTCCTCCTCCTCCTCCTCCGCCGCCTCCTCCTCCTCCTCCTCCTCCTCCGCCTCCGCCTCCGCCTCCGCCTCATCCTCCGCCTCATCCTCCGCCTCATCCTCCGCCTCCTCTTCTTCTTCTTCTTCCTCCTCCTCCTCCGTCTCCTCCTCCTCCTCCTCCTCCTCCTCCTCCTCCTCCTCCTCCTCCTCCTCCTCCTCCCGCTGGGCAGCTTAACGCGCGGGGCCGCGTGGCAGCCCAGCGCGTCAAGCTGCCCAGAACTACCACGCCACGCCCGCTCCACCGAGCAGCCCCGCCAGCAGGGGCGTCTGCAGACCCGTTCGGCCCTCTCGACGGGCGCCCCCTTCCCTCCCTGGCGCATTCGACCCTGACGCTTGGGAAGACCATTGGGGAACAGCGGGGATGGGGCCCTCTGTAGTCATCGTGGGGCTGCAAAGGAGCCATTGGAGCCTTCTTGAAGGCCTCCTGGGGCTCTCTCGGGCCACCGCCCGCCCCGTGGAGGTGCTCAACAAGCAGGCCAAGCTGTTCGTCCGAGAGGGCCGCCGCGCGGGGAACGCCCCGGAAGCGCTGGGGCACCTCGAGGGCCTCGGCGTGGACCTGCACGCGGCGGCGGCCCAGCTGCTGCAGGACGGGCTGGCGCACGCGCTGCCCTTCCGATGCTTCTGCCGCCTGGTCGCCCGCAGAGGGCCTCCTCCTCCTCCTCCTCCTCCTCCTCCTCCTCCTCCTCCTCCTCCCCCTCCTCCTCCTTCTCCTCCTCCTCCTCCTCCTCCTCCCCCTCCTCCTCCTTCTCCTCCTCCTCCTCCTCCTCCTCCTCCAGCGAAGGGGTGTGGGCGAGCGAGGGAGCCACCGAGCAGGGAGGGAGCCCTCCGAGAACAAAGCCCAGACACTAGAAGGTGGCAAATGAAAGGAGGACAGCGCCACGGTGTCCTCCTCCTCCTTCTCCTCCTCCTCCTCCTCCTCCTCCTCCTCCTCCTCCTCCTCCTCCTCGACCGGAGGGGGTCACGCGTTGCCAAAGAAAGCCAAACGAGGGGGCGTTGGGGGAGGGGCTGGGCGAAGGCGGGGGGGGAGGCTCCTTTGGAGGGCGCGGCCCCGCGTGAGCCGAGAGGCAGGGAACGACAGAGGCAGGAACTTGCCGAGGTCCGCGCGGGATTCCGCACCCCTCCCCGCCACCTCCAGGCGGCGCCTCTAGCGCGCTCCGCGCGCTGGGCAAGGGGTGTGGGGAGGGGCCTCCAGCGCCAGCCCAGGACATCTGCGCGGGCCTCCGAAAGCTGCTTGTTTACCTGTTTGCTTGCTTGCTTGTCTGTTTGTTCGTTTGCTTGCTTGCTTGCTTGTTCGTTTGTTTACTCGTTTGTTGTTTGGTTGTGTTTCTGTTTGTGTTTGCTTTGCTGGGATTTGGGTCCAGCGCCGATTCCTTGGATCGGCCCCAGACCTCCCAGCTACCCCCAGGCGGCGCCTCCGTCGCCGCCCCTGGCGCGCTTCATGCCCGCCAGGGAAGGTGCAGCGCCCGCCCTGGATGTCCGCGCGCCCCTCTTCCAAAGGGTTATGTCTGTTAGGCTTCTATTGTTCTAGGGGATGGTGGCCAGACAGTGGGGGTGCGCATCAAGAAACCATATGCTTTTCGTCAGGGTATCCTTGGTTTCTTGGCTCCGCGCGCTGCGCGGCGACTTCCCGCAGCCGTTGAAGGAGCTGTTGCGTTCAGAGTGCTCCAGGTTTCCCCTCCGGTACACTTCGCGCGCGGGTTTTCAGGGTTGGGTTTCTTGCGAGGGTTTCTTGCGGCCGCGCTCGCACTGTATGTGCGCTGACTTTCCTGGCCGCGGCGCATGATGCTCCGGCAGTGGGGCTGACCAGGACGGCCCGACTTGACCTGGCCGACCCGGCTCGTCCGACCCCGCTGGCCCGGGGCCCGGGGGGCCCGCGCAGCGGGAGAATCAAAAGTCCCTCGGTCGGCAGTGATGGGCGTACAGTCGGGGCGCTGAGAAAGGAACCCTTTTCGTTGGGGAGGGGCTCGGTGTTCCTTAGTTGTTTTGCAGTTCGCCTTTGGTTTTGCTTAGGGCTTCGACGGGAAATCGAAGTTTAACTTATGGGAAAAAGGGGCCTCGTTCCTTATTCAGGGTTCCTTAGGTCAACGCCCCGACTGTGCTGCGCCCCGTCAGGTCCCGGGGTGCCGCTGGCCAGGCACGGTGCACGGTGGCGTGCGGCGCGTGCCCCCTGCGCATAGGTCGGCTGCTTCCTGGCGGAGGGCAGCCAGGCCATCCTCCGCTTCGGCCTGGCGCTCCTGAAGCTGCAGACGCCGGCGATCCTGGCCTGCGGGACGCGGGAGGAGGCGGCCGAACGGCTGCGGCAGTTCGGCGGCGGCCCCAGGGAGGGAGGCAGCCTCGAGGACCCGGCAGGCCAGAGAAGCGCGCGGGGCGCTGCAGAGGGGCCCCGCACGCGAGGGATCGAGGAGCTTGCCGCCTTGAGCCCTGGCGGGAGGCCGCGGAAGTCTGGCGGAGGCCAGCGAAGGCAGAGCGAGGGCGCCTGGCCCAGAGGAGTTCGGCAGGAGGAGAGGGCGCCCCTCCGAGAGAAACGGCACCCGGAGGGGAGATCCAGCAGGGTGTCCGCCAGAGCGGGCCACAGGCTGGGCGGCTGTGGAGGTCGGCGTGCTGGGGTGGGTCACCACCCACCAAACCACCCCAACCCAACCCGAAGGCCTCAATCTGCCCTCCATTTCCAGTTGGGGGGGTCGGGGAACATCGAAAAACCACGTATGGAGCCCGTACCCCCCCCCAACCCGAAATTGGGGTCTTCGGGTTGGGTTGGGGTGGTCTGGTAGGTAGTCAGGGGGCGGGGGGAGCGCGCGGGGCCCCGCCGGGTTTGGGTTGCCCCAGGCCCTTCCGGGCGTCCCCGCCCTCGCCTGCCCCCGTGCCGCTGGCGTCGAGCAGCAGTCCCCCGCGGATGCCGCCCTCGCGGGCGGCAGGTCTCCGTCGCCGCCGGGCCCCTCCCCGTAGGCCCTCCTCCTCCTCCTCCCCTTCCTCCTCCTCCTCCCCCTCCTCCCTTCTCCTCCTCCTCCTCCTCCTCCTCCCTTCTCCTCCTCCTCCTCCTCCTCCTCCTCCCTTCTCCTCCTCCTCCTCCTCCTCCTCCTCCTCCTCCTCCTCCTCCTCCTCCTCCTCAGTGGCGGCGCCCTTCGACGGCGCTGCACCACCAGCGCGCTCGGGGGCGAGGCGCGCGGCTCTTCGGCCGCCGTTCCGGCGTCCGAAGCTCGCGCTTCGCGCGGGGTCCTTCCCTGCCTGCCGAGGACGTCGACTCGCTCGCAAAGGCCGCGTTCTCGATCCAGCTGCGCGACATGGGGATGGCCAAGGTCTCCTCGGCCGAGGGCTCCCTGTTCGTGAGGGCGGCGGAGGGCGAGCTGCGCATCTTCTGCCGCCCCAGGCTGCACGCGCCGCGGGGCAACTGCCCCGACGAGCTCTGGGCGTACCTGTGGCCCTTCGTGCCTGCGAGGTGCCGAGCTCTCTCGACGCTGCGCGTGTCCCCCGCCCACCCCCAGCGAGCGGTGGAGGAGGCATCAGAGCAACAGTACCGCCCACGCGAGGCGATGATCTGTTGTCTTTTCTCTGGCACGAAGCGAGACTGTTGAGCTACACTAATCGCACGGAGAGAAGGACGGCGAGGAGCCGGTGACAAGCGAGAGAGAGGCGGCTGCACGCAGCTACCAGGGTTGGCAGCGGGGGAGCGATGGCCAGGGAAGCGAAGGGGGGGGGGGCACGAGCAGTCAATTCGAGGCTGGGGTCGGCCCGAGCAGCCCCCCACTCATGTCCATCTGCGGGGCCTCGCCGAGCCTCTTTTGAAGGCCTCTTGGAACAACCTCGGGGTTCTTGTGGGGCCACTTTTTGGGGGGCCTTTGAGGGTCTTCTGATCGCATCCTGGGGGCCATCGGAAAAAAGAGGACAGTGCATTCAATGAGTGCCCCCCGTGGAGCCAGAGAGGTCGTCTCTTGAAGCTCTCTTGGTATGCTCTTCGGGGCCTTGGGGCCCCGCGGTCCCTCCTGGACGAATTCGAGCCCTCACGAGTAAATCGGAAGCGAAGAGTCGAGACGGGGAAGAACATCTAAAAATATGTGTTCGGGAGGACTCCAGCCTCTCGCGGCATGCCTGCGAGGCTCCGTGGCCATCTCGAGTCAGATTTGGGCCCACACCAGGCCGTTCGAAGGCATGTCGGAAATTCTCGAGGATCATGGGACCTAAGAGAGCCATCTTGCACCATATATGATGTCATCTTGGGTCATCTGGGCCACCCATCCTTGGACGCTGTGTCTAGTCGTGGTCCCCTCAACTTCGAGACCATAGGGGTAGCCTCCCCGGAAGAGATGAAGGGGTTGCTTTGGAAGACGTCGTACCTAAACTACGCCGAGATGGCTGGTTTGATGATCTCATGTTAGCACCTACGCCTCTGAGCCACTCGTGCTAAGATGTGGACTCTAAGGTCCCCCAATCGAGCCTGTGATATGCTTTCTTACGTAACCAGCATCGCCCGTTTGACCTGATGTGTGTGTGTGTGTGCGCACAGATGCATGTTCAATCGCACATTACTTATGAATGGTGGAGTTTTTTCGCAGCTGACTGTTGAGCGTCTGCGACAGGTTGGACGTACTCGCGCTCTGGCTCGGAGTTCTTGGGCCCCGTGCGCCGCCCTCCATGGGCGGCTCGCGCTCATCGGTGTCCTGCCCGGCTTGCCAGCGCGTGTCCGCCCTCACGCGCCCCGGCCTCCTTTGCGATTGCTCGGGGCTGCGGGGCGACGCTCAGCACGGCCCCTCCGGCGTGGCCCTGCTGCTTGGGAGCCTGTGCGTCCTGGTCGCAGGCGCGGCCGCCGGTGCGGCGGGCACCCTGGTGGCCCTCTGGTGGCGGAGCGCTGACGGGTTGGCACACGCGGGCGGGGACGCGAGCGACGAGCTCGGCGAGGAGGCTCGCGCGCAGTTGAAGGCCCTGCGGCAGCAGGCCCTCTCTCCAGTGTTGGCGGCGCTGGCGCCGCCGTTGCGTGCTCCCGTGGCCGCCGCCGGCATGAAGGATGGAGGTTTCCCAGGGGTGGTCTACAGTGTCGGCGGCTGGGTCCTGGTGCACGACCGCGGGGTCGTCGTGGTGGCCAACCCTACCGTGCCAGAGGTCGTCTCGGTCGTGACGGTACGGCTGACATCCGTCGTCTCGGAAACTGGAGCATATACGTTACCAGTGGCGGGCTGTTTTGCAATCCCAGGAATTTTTGTGGGTCGGGGGCGATGTCGGGGGGGTGTGGTGCATATTTTTGTTACCCGTTTTCCCGTGGAAGCAATGAAAAATGTATACACCAGGATCCCGTATACACCAGGCTCCGCTTTCCTGTGCGAGTTCCAGTGCGGGGCTGGAGAAAGCGTCGGTGTATAGAGTTCGGCTCCTTAGTCATCGGGACCTGCTCTGGGCCGGCGCCGCTGGCGGCGACTTCGCCTGGCTGCCTGCTGCTTGCTACTGCCGCCCCCGGGCGATCCCCACCCCGGCGTCCTTGCCAGACGCGGCGCGGCGGGCCTGCGACCGCCTTGACCTCGCGGCGCCGCGGTCGCAGCGGTGCCGGACGTCGGCGGCCGCGTGGCCGTCCCAGCGGCCCCAGTGGGTGGTGGCGTCGGCGCCCTGGTGGCCGCCGTGGGTGGCCCCGCTGGCGGCGCGCCCGCAGCGGCCGCCGCCCCCGCCGCCGCCGCGGCGCCCGCGGCCGCGCTGGCCCCCGCGCCAGTGCCCGCCGCGCTGGGCGCGGTCGGGGTTCAAGAAACGGGGGTCAATGCAAACGGGGGTCAGCCAGGGCACCGGGTCCTGCAGGATCCTGCGAAGACCCCCTCTGGCTGACCCGGGTTAGCGGCGAGGCGGCCGCGCATATTGGCTGACCCTGGCTTGCGAAGACCTCAGTTTTTTGGTTTCCTGCTAACCCGGGTCTGGATTGACCCGGGTCTCAAGATCCCCGGCGTGGCGCCAGCTGTTGCTGGAGCGGCCGCAGCGATGCCAGCAGCCGCGGTGGCCCCGCCGGCCCCTGGTCGCGACGCCCGCATCCGCGCGGTCATACGGGGCGCCCGCGGCAAGAGGCACGCCGGCTTCCGCGCGAGCGTCGCTCCCTTGGTCGAGCTCCAGCAGGCGGACTGGTCCGTCCGCGGGCCTCGCGCGATGCCGTGGGCGCCAGGGCGCATGGCGCATCGAACCGGCGCGCCGAGGGCGCATCACCAGAGGCGGAGTGCGAAGACTGTTGCGCGATGCTGGAGACCGCGAGCACCTGCGACGAGGTGCGCGCCGCGAATCTGGGCCACCTGGGGTTGGTGGCTCGCGCCACCCAGGCGCAGGAGGAGCGCTACCGGCACGCGGTCGCTCCAAGCGAGACTGGCTCGGCGGACAGGGCCGCGGTGATGGGGCCGCTGGAGCGGGGCGGCGCGGCGCATGTCTGCCCGCCCCTGCGGGGCCCCTGGCCCTGGAGCTGCGGCGGGAGATGTGGCGGCGGCGAAGGAGAGGTGCGAGGAGCGCGCTCTCGCGCCAGCGACGGCGCTCGCGCGCCTGGCGAGGGCGGCGGGAGACGGGGGCGCGGGGGCCGCAGCGGCCGGGGCGCAGGCGTCGGAGCCGCGGCTGACGGCCCCCCAGGCGGTCGGCTTGGCCGGCCACCGCCCGCGCCCCCTCGGTCGGGCCCGCGCGGGCGCCAACAGTGCTGCCCACGCTCCAGGCCGCTGCTTCCACGCGCGACGCACGCCGTCGGGATGTCTCCCCGCTGCCGCTGCTGGCACCTGCTGATGCGGCGCGTGTCCCGTCGCCCACTCGGCGGTGGGCGCGTGCCGGTCGCATGCCCTGGAGCGCGCGCCGGACCGCGCCAATGCTGTCGCACGTGCCCCGAAGCACCTCTGAGGCGCAGTCCTCGCCCGAGCCTGCAGTTCTGTCCGCAGAGCAGAGCTTCGCCGCAGGTTGCATCTGGGACTCCATCGCCGCTCTCGGCCCCGAGCTCGACGGATACCGCGGCAGCGGGGCCCTCCGGGAGCTCCTTGCAGGGCCCGCTCTGCATCCTACCCTGACGGCGGCGGGCCCGCCGCTCCCAGCGTGCCAGACCGCGTCTCCTGGCCGGATGTCTCGCAGCCAACGGCGCAGCTACGGGGCGCCGGCGCGCTGCGGGAGTGGAGGCGCCGTGTGCTTCGAGATTCCAGGCTCCCAGCTGCGCTCGACGGCTTTCCCGCGCGGCCCGCGCGCGGCCCCTGCGCTGCTCTGCTAGCCGACGGATTATGCTTCCTTCATCGGCGTCGCATGTCATCCTTTTCCATTGCGCTTGAGCGCCGGGGTCGCGCGGGAATCTTCTCCATGCCCGTGGACAACGGGCCCCTGCGAGTGATCTTCGACGCGCGGCTGGCCACCTGCGCCATCGCCGATCGACGCTCTGAAGACCCGGCTCTCTCCCGCGTGAGCCTGGGGGCGCCTCGAGACTGGCGGCGCTCGCATCTCCGCCGCCTCGGCCGACTTGGACGTCGCTTTCCACTGCGCGAAGGCGCCCGAGTGGATGGATGACTTCTTCGCGCTCCCGCTGATCGCTGCGAAGCACCTGGCGCCCTCGGCGCACTTGCAGCGGGCGCAGAGGGTGAGGCGCCGGCGCTGGCCCGGGCAGCGGCGCCCCCCGTTGGGCTGCAGGAGGGCTCTGCGGTCGTGCCCGGCGGCGCTCCAGACGCCGCTGGGCCGGGCCATCGCGCCTGAAAGTTTGGTTATGAACGGCCGCCGCGGCCGCCGACGATGCTGGCTCGGTCGCCCTGGCCTGCCGCGTACAGGCATCGTCGCCGGCGGCCTCCCAATGCAGCCGGCGGTTGCAGGGCGTCGCCGACGATCTGATGCGGCGCGGGCCGGCGGCGCGCGAGTTCGAGGCGCCCTCCCAGGACCGCGACTGCTTGGGGTTGTCGCTGCGCGAGGGGCGCCGGCTCGGCCTGCGGACCCGCGGCATCCGGAGGCTCCGCGCGGCGATCCGCGCGGCCACCCGACGGCAGGTCATCGGGGGGGGGTCCTGCTGCGAGCGCTGGAAGGCCACGCCGCGCGGGCGCCGCTGCCGCGCTGGGAGCTCCCCTGCATCCTCAATCTTGACCTACGCACGCCTACGTCCGCGCTGCGGGGCCCACCTGCCCCTCCGCGGCCGCCCGCGCGTCGCGGGCTCTTCCCCGCTCGTGATTTGTTATTTCTGCGCGCGGTTGACCTGGCCGCCCCGCGGCGCGAGCAGGCCGCGCGCGCGCCGGCGCCCCGCCGTTCGGTTTGGGCGCGGTGGCCCGCCACGCGCAAGGACCTAGCGGGCGCCGCGGGAAGAGTCGTTGAAGAATGGAGATCCAGGGTCGAGGCCCAGGCGAGGAGTCGGACTGTCAGGCTCTGGTTCGAGAGCGCCGTGTCGGAGGAGGATGGGCTCTTCGCCGGTCCTGGGGCCGCAGAGGAGGGCATCTCGTTCGCGGGCCCGTTCGAGTCGAACAAAGACATCGATGCCCG